TTTGTCTCTTTGTTGTTCTTGGCCACACAATCAAGGAGTTGGGCGGCTGATTCATATGATCGTCCAAGCAAACAACCCGAAGAAAGTTGGTCAGCCACTATTCTCTTTTCGAGGTCCAGAACCCTATAGAAGCATCTTATATGGAATTCCATGAGTTGGGCATAGCTGGAATATGATCTTAAACCTTGGCAACAACTCATAAATGGACTCGCCCTCCAATTATTTGAAATTTAGGATGTTATTCCTAAAAATCATCATTCTCAAAGGAGGGTGGTCCATTGGGTCACTATTGCTACTAGATATACTCCAACTTTCTGCTCAAGACAGCAACACAAAAAGCAAAACTAAAAATAAGGTAAGTTCAATATAATTAACGGGAAAAAAATTCAACTTAACTAAAGATTCTCAAGTAACACCACTCCCCGGCAGCAACGCTATTTTAATTTCACGTATCAGGACACTTCTTCCAATACTAAGTGCCAACGATCGTTAGTCAGTAATATAACCCAAGTAAGTGAGTTGGGGTCGAATCCCATAGGGAGTGGTGCGTGCTTAAGAATCAAGAGCCAAGTATAAATATGTTCAAGTCATTCATAGAGAAAAACATCTACGAATAAAACCATGGTTCAAGTTTAGTGTGACACAAGTGTCAAATATGGGGTGTTGATTGTAATTATCAACTACAACAACAAATAACACGAAAATAACAAGTATAGAGGGGTTCTTGGGATGTGATTGGATTATGAGCTAAGGTAGTCAAGTGGGTAATTGCAATTGATAGTAAATAGCTGTAAATCAGTGAATAAGCTAGTCTTTAGTGGGGATAAACTTTCTCTCAAACAATTTACCCCAAATAAAATTGATTTCTCTCGAATACCAATGAGCAACAATTAAGAACAACCTTCGCTTTAGTCCATTCACTCTCTCGAGCTGAATGTGTGGAAAAGGGTTTAGGATTCACTCTCTCGAGCTGAACCCATGACAACCCAATACCCACGGATCATTAAATCATCAGTCTTGGTTTTAAAACCTCTCTCTCGAGCAAGCCAAAAACACGAAGTTAAAGTTGCATTTGCAACTACAACCCTTTAAATTAAACCACAATTATTGATTGAAATCACTTTTAAACAATATTTAAACTATCAATTAACAATACCAACAGCTAAATCAATCCATAATCATATAATCACACCCCAAGAATTGGGGTTTTAGCTAGACATCATAAAAAGATAGAAATCGTTACCAAATTGTGTTTCCATCAACTGGGTACGATTAATTTCATCTTTACAAAGGTCTAAGATGAAAAATCTTCAACATCCACTTCCAATTTCTCAGAATGGAAATCTTCAAAGCTAAGGAAAATATTGTCTCAATACACTCAGTTCTAAAACTTCAAAAAACTGATAATAATAAAACTTGGATACTATGAAAAACTAATACTCAACTAAGAATTTAAAGTATATTTATGGTAGCCCAAAATATGCTGTGAATGACCATTCGGTGCAATAAGTTGGGATCACCGATCCACTCGGCGATCCGCCCTTTGGTCAATTCCATTGCCTTTTTGCTTTGGCCTTCACCATCTTCAAGTTCTATAACTTTGGGTGATCTAGCACTGCATCGCGGAACCGCTCGGCGACTCACCGACTGCTCTTTTCTATCGCCGACTTGATTTTATTGTTCATGGCTTGGCATGTTGGAACTTTAGGTGAGATCATGGCCACTCGGCGCCTCGCCCAATGGGTTAGGCGATCATCAGACCTTATTTTCTTCGTTCTTTGAGTTGCCTTGTTCCTTTTTGCTCATTAGTGTCCATGCTTTGTTCCTCAATCCAAATACCTAAAAATCAAGGATTTACATCAGTTATTGGCACAAAATATGCATTTGAGGACACTAAATCTATTAAAATAAAGCCCTAAATGAGTCCAAATCATGGACTCATCATCCCCGTAAACCCAAATGTGGGTACGATGGCATCTAGAGTGAAGGATTTCATTAGAATGAATCCTCTGGAGTTTTATGGTTCTAAGGTCGAAGAAGACCCTCAAGAGTTCATTGATGAGGTTTATAAGGTGTTGATGATCATGGGAGTGACGCTGTGGAAAAAGTGGAATTGGCCTCTTATCAACTTAAGGGTGTTTCTTAAATATGGTTCAACTAATGGAAAGAAGGGAGAGAGAAAGATGTGGGTCATCTTGATTGGGAAAAGCTTAAGGTTCGTTTCCTTGATAGGTTCTTTACCCTTGAGATGAGGGAGGCAAAATTGCTTGAATTCATTAAGCTTAGACAAGGAAGTATGAGTGTGAAAGTATATGCTTTGAATTTCACACAATTATCGAGGTATGCTCCTAATATGGTTGCTGATCCTAGGGCAATGATGACTAAGTTTTGTTCCGGTTGTGTCTGAAACGGTGGTTAAGGAATGTTGTACCGCTATACTTATCAAGGACATGGATATTTCTCATATCATGATTCATGCTCATCAAATTGAAGAGGAGAAACTTAAGGAAAGATCTAGAGAGGAAAAGAGGGCCAAAACTGGTGATGCTAACTTCTCACATATAAGGTCCGATGGACATGGTCGTTCTATGTTTCGATCAAGGTTTTCTGGTCAGAGTTCCTCCAATGTTCCTTCTAAGTTCAACGAAGATAGAGTGTCTAACCATAAGCCTCAAGGAGGAAATAGTGGTGGATCTTTATTGCCTCTGCCTACTTGTGCTAGGTGTGGAAAGAAGCATGAGGGTAAGTAATTAGCCGTCACAGATGGTTAATTCAGTTGTGGTAAAAGTGGTCATATATTGAGGGATTACCCGATGCTTACGTCTAAAGGAAGTGAGGGTAAGAAAGCTCCTCCTAGTGGTTCGGGTTTAAATGCTCACAAGCAAAACTAATTCTATGCATTTCAGACTCGTCATGAGTAAGAGGGTTCACCCAATGTGGTTACCGGTATGTTGAAAGTTTTCCAACTTGATGTTTATGCTTTACTTGACCCCGGTTCTACCTTGTCTTCTGTGACGCCATATGTGGCTATAAGTTTTAATATTTCTTTCGGATGTGTTCTTAGATCCCTTTTCTGTCTCTAACAAACAGATGATTACAACTCTATAATCAACTAAACAAATAAACTTGAATCAAAACTAGAAAACTTAATCCTAAAGATCAGGTTATTCAATTTAGTCTTCGTATCCACAACAGTCAAAATCTTCAATCAAAACTCTCTCAAATACAAACTCTCTCTTACTTGATTGTGTTATGCTTGTATATCTCTATGTAAGTGCACAAAATTCATTGTAGAAAACCCGACCTATTTATAGGCATGAAGCCTTTCCATCTTTAGGTTGAAGTCGGTGACCTCTTACTGCTTCCTTTTCCTTGTAGCCTTAAACTAACTTCCACGTCTTGTACTTCGTTCACCATCTTGAACTTCTTTCTCTACACTAAAACTTCTTCTCCTAATCCACTTGGACTCTATTTGGGAGGAACATGGTTGTGGAACTTATTTCTTACATCTATTCTCCTATTTGTCACACGTAAGAATCTTCCTAGATCCAAAACCTTTCTTCTATTACAAAAGAGGTCTCTTAAATCTCAATCAATCATTCTATCAAACAACTTACCATTTTCTGTTGCATCAAGATGAAGAGATCAAGATTGAATGCTGACATCTTGACCTTGAATGAAACTGTTAATACTATTACTAATTAAACTTGTGCTAATATGTCAAGAGATGAAATAAGAGATGGTACTATCCAAGAACTTGGACATAGTGATTCTGCATTAGTTGAAGCCACTGCAGAATACCTCTCTAATATAGATTCTACAACCGCTTATTGTCGTAGAACTTCCATATCTTGGCACATTAGCAGGAGTTGAATTACTAGTAGCATTAAGAGTTCCACTGAAGGTCAAGTTGTAAACAGTCATCTGAGGTGCAACAATAAATGATAAGTTGTTTGATAGAATGATTGGTTGATACAACCTATTTGTCAATGTACATGTGCATATTTGCTGCCTCTTTATAGTAAAAAGGCTACAACATACTGAATATACATGTATGTAAACTAAAAAAACAAAAAGATAATCATAAACACAACATGAAAAGAATTATACCAACCTAAGGCAAGTAAAAACACACAGAGGTGGAAAAATACATATTTCACAAGGATTATAAATACATATCTATAGTTACATGTACTGGTATCTGAATTATAGTTATTTCATAGAAACTATTTGCCACCACCATTTGGAAAGAAATGTCACATTTCACAATAATGTTAAAATACATCTATAGATATTTGTACCAACATTGGATTATAGTTAATTAAAAGAGTGAAGGAGCCATTTGGTATGGGAATGAGATAGACAACGTTATCCCATGAGAGTTTATTCGATCATTGTTGTACAAATGATTGGGTAAATAATTCTGAAACGTCTTCCTTGTAGGAAATATAGAAGGAGAATACTATCTTTAGAGAATGCGTAGGTTTTATATAGGCTACTTAAGGCCACTTGAGATGATTAGAATCATCAATTACATCTCTATTTATACTAGTAAAATGTAAAACTAAAGGTCTTGCACAAATAACTAGATACATGTATCACAATTATCTAGATACATGTTTTTCAAACTCCTGAAGGAATTTTTGAAAAACTAAGAGAAAACATTGGAAGACTAAACATTGATGTGGATTCATCAATTCCAACACTCCCCCTTAATGCATTTGCTTGACAACTCCAATGCGTTCTCGTAGATAGCAAAAATTTTCTCTAGGAAGTGCTTTGGTGAAGATTTCAGCAAGTTGTTCTCCTGTCTGGCAATAATGCAAATGAATTTCGCCTTTCTCTTGTGCTTCTCGGATAAAATGATACTTGATGGAAATATGCTTTGTTCTTTCATGGTTGACTGGATTCTTGGTAATTGCAATTGCTGATTTGTTACCACAATACAGAACAATCCCTCTTTTTTATTTTTCATCAATGTCTTCAAATATTCTCTTAAGCTATATAGCTTGAGAAGTAGCCTTAGCTGCTGAGACATATTCTGCTTCAGGAGTGGATTGAGCAACAACACTTTGCTTTTTTGAGAACCAAGAACAAATACTTGATCCAACTAAGAAAGCATAACCAGAAGTACTCTTCATGTCATCTATACTTCTAGCCCAATCACTATCAGAATAACCAATTAAGTTCAAATCTCCACCAAATTTGTACATTATCCCATAATCCATTGTTCCTTGCAAGTAGCGTAGAACACGTTTTGCAGCTCCAAAATGCCCTTGGCTTGGTTCTTCTATGAATCTGGATAATAAACTAGCAACAAACATAATTTGGTCTTGTTGAAGAAAGATATAGTAGGCTTCCAATCAAGCTCCTGTATAGTGAGCTATTAGTTTTCTTTTCTCTATCATCTTTTCTGAACTGCTCATTTGCTGCTAATGGTATGGCCACAGACCTACAATCCATCATTTTGAATTTTTGAAGAATACTTTTAGTATACTTCCTTTGAGAAATAAAAATTCCTTCTTTCACTTGAGAAACTTCGATTCCCAAGATCACTCATTTCATAGGCTTGCATCATATCTTGCTTGAATTTTTGCATCATCTTCACATCATTTCCTGTCAAGACTAGATCATCCACATAGAGATAAATAATGATAATGTTCTTTGTTCACATACAAGTGGCTTCACTTTTGCTTCTCTAAAAAATATTTTTTAGAAAGTATGTATCAATTTCATTGTACCAGGCTCTTGGAGCTTGTTTCAGACCATAAAGAGCTTTTTTAGCCTGTAAACCTTCCCTTCTCCGCCTTGAACAAAAAATCCTTGAGGTTGCTCAACCTAAATCTCTTTATCAAGTTTTCCATTAAGAAATGCAGATTTAACATCAAGTTGAAATTCTTCCATTTCTTTTGTGCACAACAACAATCACAGTTCTAATTGTCTCAAGATGAGCAACTGGAGAGAAAATTTCATAAAAATCAATACTGGGTTTTTGTGTGAAACCTCTAGCAACCAACCTTGCTTTGTGCTTTTGAATATCTCCTTCCTGATTGAATTTGATTTTGTTAATCCATTTTAGACTTACAACTTCTCTTTCTTTGGGTATAGCCACATGCTCCCAAGTTTTATTTTTTTCAGTCATCCAAATTTCTTCTGCCATGGCTTTCTTCGAAACGTCATGCTTTATTGCCTCCTCATAATTTTCTGGCTCAACACCAGCAAAGTTACATCTCTGATAAATGTCACTCAATATTTTTGTTCCTTTTAGAGGTTGTTCTTCATCATCTGAATCTGGGATTTCTCCCCCTTGAGGGACATCTTCCTCTTGTTCATCCTCTTCTTGATTTGACACATCTAAAGATATGATAAAAGTATTCTCTATCTTTTTATCCTTCCAATTCCATGCTGTTTTTTCATAAAAAATGACATCTCTACTAACAACAAGTTTGTTAGTTTTGACATCAAGAAGCCTATAGCCTTTTGTCACATCACTATAACCAAGAAATATACATTTTTGACTTTTTTCCTCCAATTTTGTTCTTTTCTCAGCAGGTATATCAGTTTAACAAATACACCCAAAATTTTAAAATGACTTACAAAAGGTTTCATTCCACTCCAAGCTTCAACTGGTGTCTTGTCCTTCAATGCCTTTGTCGGGCACCTGTCGAGGATGTACACTGATGTATGCACTGCTTCTACCCAAAAATATTTTGGCAGCCCTTTCTTATTCATCATAGTTCTGGCCATTTCAACAATTATTCTATTTCTTCTTTCAGATACACCATTTTGTTGAGGAGTGTACCATGCAGTAAGTTGCTTATGAATGCCTTCATTTTTGTAGTATTCTTCAAATTTTTGACTTGTGTATTCACCACCTCTATCACTGTGAATGGTATTGATGCTGCAACCTTTTTCCTTCTCAACAAGGGCTTTAAATTTCTTGAATGTACCAAATGCTTCTGACTTTTCTTTCAAGAAATAAACCCAACTCATTCTTGAAAAATTATCAATAAATATTAGAAAGTACCTTTGACTTCGAAGAGATGGAGTCTTCATTGATCCGCAAATGTCGGTATGGATTAGTTCCAAAAGTACACTTGCTCTCCAAGATATCCCTTTTGGAAAAGACTTTCTATGTTGCTTTCCCATTATATAACTTTCACATGGATCCACCTTAGTATGTATCTCAGGAAGGCCTTGCACCATGCCATTTTGCTTGAGAAGCTTCAAACCATGAAAATTCAAGTGACAAAATATTTTGTGCCAAATCCATGAATCATCTACAACTTCATTTTTAATGCATTGTAAAAGAAAGTTTCTTTTTATCATCTGTACTTCAACAATGACTTGATTTGGCTCAATTTTATCATAAAATCCGGCAATAATTATCTCGAAACACAAGAGAATAACCATTTTCCATGAGTTGACCAACACTAAGCAAATTTTCTTCCATGTTAGGAACATAAAGAACATCATGAATTTGCTTAGCGCTCCCTTTTTTGTTGATTGAAATGGTACCTTTACCTTTTGCATCAACTAAGGCTCCATTCCCCATTCTCACTTTAGTAGTAATAATATTATTAATTGAGAGGAAAACATTTTCATCTCTAGTCATGTGATTGCTACAATCACTATCAACATATGATTCATTGCTTTTTGTTGAACTATCAGATTTAGAAGAAAAGAAAAGGTTTTCTTCCCTTTCTTCCTCTTGTTTTTCACAAAAAATAGCTTGCTCCCGTTTCTTGTACCAACAATCCTTCTCAGTGTGGCCAAACTTTTTACAAAAATTACATTGGGGCTTGCCTTTGTGCCAATATTTTTCTGCATTGTGATTAGTGTTTTTGCAAACTTTACAAAAATGACTAGAACTTTTCTCACCTTTTTCTTCAACCTTCTTAGAAGATTCATCATTTTCCTGCTTCTTTTTTGGATTGTAATTCTTCCTCTATTGATTTATTGAGAAATTTTGAAAATTCTCATTTGTTCTAGACTGGAAAGTCGTCTCTTTGGGTTGATCTTCACGAAAAAAATTCGCTTCTCATGTGCACGAGACGATCCAACTAGCTCTTTGATGGAAAGCTTAGAAAGATCTTTCGTCTCCTCATTGGTAGCAACAATGTACTCATACTTTTATGTGACACTAATTAGAATCTTTTCCACGACTTGTCGGTCAGAATTGTATCACCATGATTTCTCATTTCATTGACAATATTCATGACTCTTGTGCAATATTCATTTGTTTCAGATTCTATCATCTTCAAATTTTGAAACTCTTTTCTAAGAGTATGAAGATTTATAGTGCGTACCTTTTCGTCACCATACACCTCAGTTTCCAAAGACTCCCAAGCTTGTTTTGGAGTCTCGCAAGTAGCATTTTTTTTGCAAAATATGCTCTTGAGACTCCCATTTGGATTTTTCTCAAGCCTTTTGCATCTTGACGATACTTAGCCTCAAGATATTTCATCTCTGCTGCTTTAAGTTCACCATCATTTTTTGGCTCTTCAAAGCGATTTGCAACAATAGTCCAGAAACCTTCATCTTTCAAATATGTTCTCATTCTTATCTTTCAGTATTCAAAATCGGTTCCATCAATAAATGGAGTAAGAAGAACTGAAGAATCAGCACCTTCATTTGTTTTGGATGCCATATTTTTTTCGTCACCTAACCCCATATTAAGAACGAAAACCTGCTCTGATATCAATTTGTAGGAAATATAGAAGGAGAATACAATCTTTAGAGAATGCTAAAGTTTTATATAGGCTACTTAAGGCCACTTGAGATGATTAGAATCATCAATTAAATCTCTATTTATACTAGTAAAATGTAAAATCAAAGGTCTTGCACAAATAACTAGATACATGTATTACAAACTCCTAAAAGACTTCCTGAAAAACTAAGAGATAGTATTGGAAGAATAAACATTGATGTGGGTGCATTAATTCCAACATTCCTATTGTGGCTTTATGGCCTGAAATTCCTCAGAGTACATGTTAATTAGCATTGTTATGCATAGAATTTAACCACGAGTTTGCAAAAATTGTTTGGCGCACATTAGAGTGTTTCATTGCTTAAAAGGTGATGGTGGCCCAATATGTGGCTCTCTTACTGGAGTTGCTGCATTAGAAGCGGATGTAATTGTAACATCCATGGGAGAACCATTAAAATCAAACTTAACCGTTAAGAAATATGAATGGATCTTACCATTGCATCAACTTCTAATGTAGAAATTCCCGGAAGAGAGCCACAAATTAGGCCCATCATCACCTTGTAAGCAATGAAATACTCTACTGTGTGCCAAACAATTTCTGCAGACTCAAGGTTAAATTCCATGGATGACAATACTACTAAATGTGTACCTTTGAGCAATCTCAGGTTACCCTATGGTAAGTATGGGAAGAAGAAATATAGTGTCAGGAAGTGTATGGAGCAAATCTCTACCACACTAACACAACTGGTGGTTAGTATTTAATGTTTTAAGAGGAGCACTGGGAAAAGTACTTGTTAGGACCAAAAATAATCAGGTGTCAAGGTAGCAATGCAAACCTCGAAAGACCATGACTAAGAAAACAAACGAGAAATATACCAAAAGACACAAACAATTAATGTAGTTTGGTCAATCGACCTACGTCTATAAGAGGAGATAAACAATCCACTATATAAAAGAGAGTACAAAATATGGAGAGGAATAACCTCACACAATTCCCTCGGAATATAAGGAAGTTCACACAAGTGTTAACGTAACACTGTGTCTCACAAATTCTCCCTCTAAACAATGTTGTAGAGGAGAAGGCTACAACTTCTAATACGCTATGCTTGTTGAAGTGTGTGACCATCTCATCTAAAAGGTTAAGCAGTTATAGAGGACTGATTTTTTTTTTATGGAGAACACTTTTATTAGTTAATTATATTCTCAATATGCCCCAGTACGCGCGAGCCTGATTCTTTTTTTTCATGGGTCAAGCACATAAAAATTCTTGTTGATATGATTAGTGTCGATCCCACGGTCTCTTCTTGCTCTGATATCATGAAGTGTGTTAACATCTCATCAAAAAGCTTAAACTGTTAGAGAGCACACTTTTATTAGTTAATTATATTCTCAACAATGCCAACGAGCTAAGGGAAAGTTTCTGCCCTTGGATTGACCAGGTTGACATCACTTACTACATACATGTTCTATATGCTATTGAGCAAAATCTTGTATTGCATTTCAAGTTAAATAAGTATTCTAATTCTAGGAATAAGTCACTCCAATATTTGTCCCGTTTCTGAAATTCTATGTCCATTGAGAAGTCAGGTGAATTTATGTTATGCCTACTTTATT